TTCCCGACTCGTATTCCTTGTCTGAATTCAGTTTTCCCCTCCCGCGCGAAGCGCGGAAGCTTTGACGTTTCATTAAATTATTAGAGAAAAAAGACTATTCGTTGTACCGTTCTAGACTCTTAATCCTTGTCTAAATTCAGTTTTTCCCCTACCGTGTAAAGTGCGGAAGCTTTGACGTTTCATTAAATTACTAGAGAAGGAAGACGATTTGTTGTACCATTCTCGACGCGTATTCCTCGTCCGAATTCAGTTTTCCCCCTCCTACGCAAAGCGCGGAAGCTTTGACTTTTTATAGTTTAAATTGAAATTATTAGAGAAAGATGATTCGTTGTACCGTTCTAGACTCTTAATCCTTGTCTGAATTGAGCTTTCCCCCCCCTCCCGCGCGAAGCGCGGAAGCTTTGACGTTTCATTAAATTATAACGGAAAGAAGACGATTCGTTGTACCATTCTCGACTCTTAATCCTTGTCTGAATTCAGGTTCCTCCCGCCTGCGCAAAGCGCGGAAGCTTTGACCTTTCATTAATTATTAGAGAAAGAAGATTTGTTGTACCATTCTCGACTCTTATAACTTGACTGTATTCAGCCACCTCCTCCCCCCCCCCCCCTCCGCCCTCCCGCGCGAAGCACGGAAGCTTTGGCCTTTCATAGTTTAATGAAATTATTAGAGAAAGAAGATGATTCGTTGTTTCATTCTCGACTCTTAATCCTTGTCTAAATTCAATTTCCCCCTCCTGCGCTTTGCGCGGAAGCTTAAAATTTCATCAAATTATTAGAGAAAGAATACGATTCGTTGTACCGTCATCGAATCTTTATCCTTGTCTGAAATGAGCTTTCCCCCCCCCCCCCCTCTCCCGCGCAAAGCGCGGAAGCTTTGACATTTCAATAAATTATTAGAGAAAGAAGACGATTCGTTGTACCGTTCTCGACTCTTAACCCTTGTCTGAATTGAGTTCCCCCCCCCCCTCACGCGCAAATCGCGGAAGCTTTGACGTTTCATTAAATTAGGGAAAGGAGACGATTCTTTGTACCATTCTCGACTCCTTGTCTAAATTCAGTTTTCCCCTGCCCGCGCATAGCGCGTAAGCTTTGACGGTTCATTAAATTATTAGAGGAAGAAGACGAATCGTTGTACCATTCACGTCTCTTAATCCTTGTTTGAATTCAGTTTCCCCCCTCCCGCGCGCGGAAACTTTGACGTTTCATTAAACTATCAGACAAAGAAGACGATTCGTTTTACCATTCTCGACTCCCAATCCTTTTCTGAATTCAGTTGCCCCCCTCCCGAGCGATGCGCGGAAGCTTTGACATTTCATTAAATTATTAGAGAAAGAAGACGATTCGTTGTACCGTTCTCGACTTGTCAGAATATTCAAAAATGTTTCTTTGTCTGCTCCTTTTTCGTCCTATGTCACCTTACTGCCCCTACCGCCTCTGGCTACGCGCCTGCTTTAAAGGGAAAATGAAACAATCATGATTGTGATGGCACACAATTAGGTTAGTAGAAATGAAATGGAAAAAAGATCTATTACACCAACCATGGATAAATCACGGCCGGGAGCGTCATAGTTTTGTGTTATCGGGCGAGGGCCGCGGCCGGCCGGGGCGTAGCGACCAAGCGAGATTTTTTCAATGTTGAATCGGCTGAAATTATGCATTCTAGAAAATCCCTGAGCCCAATATGTACGTTCTTTTCGCTATATTTCTTTCTAGCTATATTTCTAAATTTCCTGGGGGATGTGTCCCCCTATCGGGCCCAGGATTGCCGCCCCTGTCCATGATTACTACCAACATGAGTTCAAATACAAGCACAAGCGAGTTGGTATGAGCTGAATCCAAATGAAGGGCAAAATAAGAGTTGTGAAGCGGCCCTACCGTTAATTTAGAATTTGACTGTTGAGTATATAACTTCTATTTAAAAGACACCCAAAATATTGTGCCCTTTCAAATTTCTCACTTCAGAGTGATGACCTTTGTAGCGCAGGGGCTGTTCTTAACGTTTAACTTTGAATCCGCGGCTCGAGATTTGATGCGGCCGGCCCGGCCCCCCCCCCTCTATTCAATAATTTCGTTATATTTTCTCTTCTCTTTTCTTTTCTCTTCTCTTTTCTTTTCTCTTCTCTTTTGTTTTCTCTTCTTTTTTCCTTTCTCTCCTCCTTTCTTTTCTCTTCTCCTTTTTTTCTCCTCTTTTCCTTTCTTTTTTCTCTTCTTTTCTTCCTCTTTTTTTTCTTCCTTTTTTTTTTGCGCCGCCAATAGGGGGGGGGGGGGCCGCGGCCATTTCGGCCCCCCCCCCTGGATCCGCCACTGATATGCTGTGAAGAAATTATTTCATCTGGATTATATGTTTGTCACGAGCTGACAAAAAAAAAATGAGGGGGGGGGGGGGGGACTCGATGATAATTCATCATTTGAAGGTTTACAAACATGTCCATGGGTTATATGCACCCACTGAAGAAAATCCATGTATAGGGTTGCTTCAGGAACCCCAGCACCCACAGATCCCACGCATGATGAGACAAACTCGAGATAAAAACACATTCTTTCACATAGGCCTACTTATTAAACCGCCTATTACCACCTGCGTTAATTACTCCCTATTCAAATCTGACAGATGCCCCTTTTACCTTTTATAAGTGCCACTGTTCCCTTTTCATAAGTGCCTCTTGTGATATCTGATAAAAGCCTTTTTTATTCTTTACTTTGTCACGCGTCCCCTTATAATTTTTAATAAGTGCCCTTTTACCTTTTGATATGTGCCCTTTTACCTTTTTAATAAGAGCCCCTTCCCTTTCTCATCAATGTCCTTATGACACATGCCTCCTTTTCCTTTCTTGTAAGTACCCTTTTCCTACTGATAGGTGCCCCTTTTTCTTTTTTAATGATTCCCCTTTTCTCTCTTTCTCTCCGAAAATTATCTTCTGCATGGTTTGTTCCATTGACTGAACAACCTCTTGCAATTCCTTTCTGTCTCACTTCCAGTCGTACTTTTAATACCACTCATTTGCATTCCCTCGTTATCAACTACGATCAACCATTCTATATTCACTCCATTACTGTCCACATTTCAATTGGATTCTCTTCACTCTACCTTATGCAGCCTTTGCAGAAGCTTTGCTAGAAGTAGAACATTTTTAATTTAGGGTTAGCATTTTATTCAAGTTTTCTAACTTGAAAAAAGGAAAGTGAACCATTGCTTAATTTCAATATCTTGACATAATTTTATTTTTTAAAGACAATTGAATTTAACCCTAGAAATTTTTGATTGGTTTGCCCCCCCCCCCCTAAAAAAAAACACACAACAACACCACCGAAGTGGTACCAGGGTTTTTGTTAGGAGGCCATGTCCTGTATAATTTTTATTTTTAAGAATAATTTTCTCTTTTTTTAATTAACTTTACATTTACGTTAATTTCCTTACTGTTATTTTTCTGCAAATCCAAACCATCTGTGGATCGGGAGCTAGCGGATGGGGGGGGGGGGGGTGGTGACGAGAAATACTATATTATATTATGAGACATTTTAATTTATGACGCATGCTAAATGTAGGCAATAGGAAATTGAGGGGCATATGCACACTATAAACAGTTATCCATATTTATGTACATAGTTTTCTATTGTTAAATGTTATATTGTATTTTCTATCATTTGTATTTTCACTGTCAAAAAAGCCATTGGAAGCAAAATTTCTATGTAATGTTTGCATGCATGGACCAATAAAATAATCTTGAATCTTGAATCTTGAATCTTGAATCTTACTTTACGTTAATTTCACTGGGGAAACAACCCCCCCCCCTCCCCTCCCATTAACAATCAACACTGCCGTTACTTCTACCAACACTAATGCTATAATTCAAAACTTTTCACTTTCTAAGTCCTTCTAATATAAACATATAATCATATGTGTACACTATTGCAACCCGTTACATGGGCCATGTAATAACAGCACCAGGAAGAGGATAGCAAGCCCCCCCCCCCCCATCCATAGAGGTAAATGAATTTCAACAAGTATAATTATAATTAAAATATCATTAATTAATTCAATCTTTGATATGGACTGATAGATCTTTATCACTCAAATTTCAAGGAGAATCTTTCTGCCCAGTCCTCAGTTTCATCTTATAAGATGGTACTTTACATTGTTAGAATTTTAATGTTTATTCATTGAGGATTAGTTATCTTTAATTATTTCTACGTTTACAAGATAATAAACTTCATTGGCTTTATTGAATGTGGTATTCTACAAACATATAATACAAATAATAAATAAATATCATGTAAATATTCCAGTTTAAACCCATCTCTATTGTACTCTTTCATAATTTTGATATATTTGAATGCCCCTGTGGATGTATTATAAGCACTAAAAAACTTAGCCTCTAAAACACTTCTGCTTTCGAGAAAAATTGAATATAAATATTTACTGGTGCTCCCGGTAAATTTTGATAAATTTCAAATGGTAGCTGCGACCATGAAAATCTCAGAATATGTAGATGTGATATATAACTTCCAAACGAGAATAGCAAATTGGTCGATTTTAGTCAAGAAAAATTTATATATTGACCTTGAGAGGGAGCTATACAACATAAAGAGTTTATTATTTACAATTTCATAATTTTAGACTCGATTACAACCGCGACAACGATCACTGAATATTGTAGGATCTCATATGCGTCCAATATGTTCATTTGAACCAAATTTATGACCCCATACTAAAACTGTGTATTACCTTTAAGTATGGGACATAAAATGACCAAACAACTTGGACCCGAGAATATACTGAAAAACATGTAACGTAGTCATATATTTCATCTATATTGACATTTAATTTTTAATCTAAATCACAATTGTGATATTCAGTCAATTATTCTTTTACAAGTCAACTGACAATGAAAAATATCTTCGTCAGACCTATTATTTTCTGCATGACATGTGTTCCACAAAAGTTTATCGGGGTACCTACATGTATATTAGCACACTTGCTCGTATGAAGTGTAGTAGGCCCGCATCTCTAGATATGATCCCGCCAATATCTCTTCTTTGTTCCTCTCCTGAGTTTGTAAACCAGCATGCCTTCATCACCCACTGTAGAGAAGCATCATCCTACATGACAGGAAACAAAGTAGGTACTTCAATTTAAAACTGATACTAATGGATACATATCAACCATAATACATCCTTTAAACAGACTTTCATCTTATTTTGTGTTCTTCTTCATCTTCATTGCTCAAGAAGTGAAAGGAGCCCTTACAAAAAAGTAATGAGGGGTCCTGTGTATACCCTACATGTAGTGCTTTGGATGTGGATTAGATATGGCTCTTCTACACACAGGCCCGCCCTCCCCCCCCCCCACTCAGGGGTCGGCAGGACCGCATGCGTATTCCCAAAATGTCCAGTAAAGGGGTAGTTTTCACGAAGTCTGGCTCATAGTACACAAAAATCCGGCCCGTATTGACTTTACACACCAGACTTAGGGGGGTGTTTTCAAAAGGAGGGAACACGCATACGCATACCCCAAATAACACTGAGTGGGGGGGGGGCGGGCACACAGGACCTCCTTCGAATAAGGACACATTTTCCTTTGTAAACCAAAAAAATTAAAGACATCAATATTTCTCTTTCCTTATCTCCTTCTCAACCCCACATGCAGCTCATCATTTAGTATTTTTTTCTGTACCCTCGATCTCTCACTTCTTTTTGTCATTGTCTACTCTTTTTATAATTATGACCATGTTCTTCTATCTGTGTCGTGTAAAGTATTGTCTTGTCCCTTTCTCGTCTCTGTTGGCATCCCCATTTTTCTTTCCCCTATTTTGTAGTTCCTTTTGTCATTACAGAATAGTAAATTGAATTACTCATTATTCCTAAGTTTCATTTGAGGTGTTCACACTTGTACAAGCATTGCTTTTTAGTGGACCCCTCTGTTTCCAACATGTATTTCTTAAATTTGTTTTAAATGCTTATAATTATTTGTAATGTTTTGTTGGAAATGTGAATAAATTTGAAATTGAAATTGAAATTGTATGCTAGGTGCAGAACTAGAATAAAATAAACCCTCCACTATATACGCTAATAATAATAATAATAATAAAAATGTTACTTATAAAGCGCTCACCACCGAAGTCTCTAAGCGCTATAATTGCAACGTCAACTTAGTTCCATTTATTTTTTTAGTGAATTAATACATGTAGGTGATCGTTTAATATTTGTGTGCTAAATAACCTGGTAATTTTACCTGCATGGGACTTTCTGCTTCATGTTGTTAACTTCTTTCAGCTCTTTAGTTTCAATCTGTTGGAACAAAAAGAAGGAAAAAAACCAATACAATAATCAAGGCATCCCTTTCTCCTTAACAATAAAATAGATCAAGCATAATAGCTATTTTTTATGTCATGGTTGGCCTTAAATTTAACATGGTGTGGAAATCAACATTCCTATTTAATGAACCACAGTACAAAGTAAAACTAATGGAATATTTAACTTGTACCTCACACAGTGCTTTCTATGGCCTATGAGCACGAAGAAGTACTAAGTAGAATTAGTTTATTATAACAAGAAGAGGTGGACTACAGATAAGTAAACATAATTGTGGACTAGGGGTCATTTCTTATACAACGTCCAACAAAAATATATTTATCAACATGAACTGCACAATTTGGAAACAAATCTTTAATGTAGACTCCTTATGAATATGAGTTATGACAACTAGACAAGCATGCTGGACCCACACAAAATCTAAACATTAAATAAACAAATCCTAGTTGTTGTTTTTTGAATATTTTTATTAATAAGTTCCAGGTTTACATCTAGATCTAGGCCTAAATAAAATAGGGTTTGGAGTTGTTTGATTATCCATGATCCATTATCCAGATTTTAACAAGAATTAACCCACTTGGATTATTAAAAAAATCATACTTCATAGATTATTTCAAGGTGTACGTTAAATCTAGATTTAAATTCAATCAATGATTGATGATTTAGATTCATGATGACGATCAAATTTGCAGGGGCGGTATTCTGAACCCTGTGTTATCTCTAATATTGTTGTATCTTTGAAGATAAAATAAAGTTGGTATTCTGAACATTGTTGTAACTTTTGTGTTATCTTTTGTTGTATCTTTTCTCTCATCTCATTGGCCGCGCCTGCGCTCATAATTTGGTGCGCTTGTAATTGTGCGTATTATTAATAAAGTGGCGTTTAATCCTCATTTGCATATGCGCACGAGAGATAATATGTCGAGATAGTTGGTATTCTGAAAGTTGTTGTATCTTTTATCTTATCTCATCTTGCATGGTATTTACAACAATACTTACAACAGGTAGGGAGTTGTTGCATCTTTCGTGGTGATATAATAGCGGCATTCTTTCTTGCCCAAAACCAACTTAGTGCCAATAGACGAGTTAGAAGAAGGTTGTGTGTTGACTGGAGACATCAAAGATGAGAAATTTCTAAGAAATTACATGCTAGGATATGACGATTTTAATGCTCTCATCTCTGTGATGTCTCTTGAAAGCGTGACTTGTCTTTATGATCCATGTGCCACAATTATGAGGACGCGCATATATAATAAGCGCTCAAATAACTAATTACGCCAAAGATTAGTATGCGCGAAGATGTAGCATAAAGTACTCCTATTGGTTGACCTACTTATCATGCTTATATAAAATAGATTTTGATTGGTAGGGTCCATAAAATGGGCGTGTCAACAGTGGTCAAAGATAAGATAGAGGCGGTCCTTCAAGAGATAACACAGGGATAAAACAATGTTCAGAATACCAACTTACAACAATATTAGCGCTGTGTTATCTCTGGAAGATACAACAAAAGATAACACAATACTTACAACAATGTTCAGAATACCGCCCCAGATGAGCACCGCAATTCCACGGGGTGGGCCTGCCGGAACCCCGGGCCCTAACTGGGTGACATGACGGCAAACCGCAGTCAGCCTACTAATTCACGACGATGAAAATCAAAGTGCAATTTGAAGAGAAATATTTCCCTAGCCTTTTCCCCAAATATCTGTTGAGAACAGTCTCAAAATGAAAAGAAATTACCGAAGATCACTATTACAAATCTTTCAAAATTAATCACTAAATTCACTAAATCTACTAATATTGCGATCAATTACTCACCCATTCTCCGACTTTGTCGATATCGTCGCGACGCGTTATTGTCAGCTAGCTAGGCGCAGGCGATACGTATACTCGTACCGTTCACACAAATCATACATATTACGTGTTTGTGTGTGTGTATTGGGTTTTTTGCAGACGTGTATCAATCAGATATGATTATTTACGTCTGGGACCGACCTTTAAACGTCACCATCCGAAAGACGTGACTCAGTTTCGAACCTGCGTCCTCGGCTGAATCAGTTTGTAACTTCCACTTTTTAGCTGGATTACAGGCGCACGCCACAACGCCCACCACCACCACCACCACCACCACCATCACCTACAGTAAACATTCCAAGAGGAGTGTTTTGGAGGATCGTCTTCCAATTCCTTTTTTTTTTGGTATGGCTTTTCAGGATGGTGTTGGTCAAAATGAAGGTAATCAGAAATACAAGGAGGGGCATTTCGAGGGGGGGGGGGGGGGGTAACCGGTCATTGCCTCCTCTTAAATCAATGGGGCATGACAAATTTTACATTTCGACCCTGTAAAAACATTTGAAAAAATTGATATTCCTCCTTTTTTTTTTTTTGCTTCCCTTGACAGATTTTTTTCTTTTATAATCTTGATTACGATCGACGTTACATGATAACTCCATTTTCTTTTGCTCGTTTTTTTTTAAAACCCTGCATCTGTTTTGCTTTGCATCTCATACCTTCTTCGCATTGCGCTTGGAGGTTCGCTCTAAACCCTTTATATCCTGTCAGGGAGTCACTTGTAAAGCGGATGACTACATAGTATGATGTGATGGTTACAGGGTCGGGAATGGCAGCACCAGAATAGACGCGTTCTCTGTCCTGCGTACTGATGTAAACCTGAGATTTGAGATACATGTATAATATCAGGTATTAGTGAAAGGTCACAAGATGATCAAAAGAGTAAGTATCCAATGAAACTGATGTTTTTACTTTCTAATCCTAACCTCACTAAACGTGAATGCCTTGGAATACACCTGTAAGTTTGATTTATTGTAAAGATCTGAATAATAAACAATGAAGTAATCAGAAATTAATATAAAACATAATGTAAAAAATACTCCTGCTTCTAAATTGTCTCAACTTGACACGGACCCAGTGGAAAAACCGTTTGAGCTTGATATTTCCTTTGAAAATGAATTGGATGTTTGGGTTCTCATGATTTATTTACGATAATTGAAGTGCAAAGTGACGAGTTAGTGAAACGATTTATTTGGTATTGTGAGCTTAGGCACACTTGACACGAGGTCCTGCCTCAAGTAATAAGCCTTCCTCTCCGTATTATTATAGTTTTAAATTAAACTCCTCATGTTAAAGGTAAAGACCAGTATTGGAAACGCCCCAATTTCAAAAAATGAAATGGAAGCTCTCATTACCAATCATGTGAAAGAATATGTTTTGACTAATACATGATGATAACAAATTTGCCGGGAAACCGCCTACTAATTCATTTATTTGGTAAATTTGTTTCTCTCATGGACTGTGAGAGATATAGGGTAGTCCCATATACATCTTTCTGTGTATAGTGCTTGTAACTTTACGAAGAATGGGCCAAATTTCTTATCATTTTGATGATTCCAGAACCTTGCAGATGCTAGATGCTAGATGATCAACCTTTTCAGATAAATTCCACAACGTTTCTTTCACAATGCAATCGCATGACCATAACTGGTCTTTACCTTTAACATGGTTGCACTAGCATACCTCATAGCATGCCATGAGGCTGCATGCACGCTACCGTTATAGTGCTTTGTACATGCGAGAGAGCCATTGCTTCAGTGCCTTGTGGGTGCAAGCACGCATTCGTAATATCAGTTACTGTTCATATGCTCATTGGACTGTGATGTGTGTTTTGCACTCGATATTCATAGAACCATCGCGTTAATCAGATTATCTCAAAATAAACTTGGTACGGAAGGATTTGGGGATTGGCACAATGGGGATTAGCCCTGTGGCATGATAAGAGTTCAAAAGGGAATTTCTGGAGGAAACAAAATGTTCATTTGAAACGAACTAGATCCATCTTTTTGATACTGACCTTGTCATATCCGGCTTCCGTTTGGAAATCTTGAAATGTGATGCTGAGTTGACATTCTTGGTGCGTGAGATAGATATACCACGTGATATCTTGGCGTTCAGGATATGTTCCATAAGGGTAGTTGGGTGAAGCGATGGAGTACCTGCCACCATCAGAGAGGCTGATGTTACCACCTGTACAAAAAAAAAATGTTGTTTAAAAATATCTGCATTTAACATTCTCTTTAGATGGCTCTCCCTCTTTCTCAATCTCATCTCCCTTCTTCACTTTGTCTCTCTCTTTCTGTCTCTCTGTCTCTCACCAATAATTAGAGAAGCGAAGAACTACTCGATGTCGACATTATACTTGAAAAGATTCAGTCTAACATTTAACATTCTTTTTAGATCATACTCTCTCTTACTCTCTTCTCTCTCTCCCTCTCTATTTATCTCTCTCTCTTTCTCCCTCTTTCTCCCTCTCTATCTATCTCACTCTCTTTCTCCCTCTCTCTCCCTTTCCTTTCTCAACAAGAAAAGTGGGGGGGGGGGCAGTGGAATATTTTATTACAAGCAAAAGGGCAGATGTTCCCATATAAATAAAATAAGTTGACAAAACTTGAATGCACCTGAAAGATACAGGATATTGCATGTTTTTGAAAATGACGTACATGTTCACTCCCCTGTTGCTCTATTTCTCTTTAAATCAATGTGTCACCCTCTTTGCTGTATCTCTATGATTTTGAGATTACTCCGATGTGCTTCAGATGATCGGTAATAATGAATATGGAGATTTTTAATATTTTAAATCACTAATTTGTTTGTTAATCTTTGTCTAATTGTTATAAATGAGAAGATCAACCTAACCAACCTTCTGGATCAATAGGAGGTTCTTGAGTAGCACCTGTATGGGGTGGAACACAAGATAACAAAATAAACATGACTTCATTCAGATAACAATGTCAATAAAGTGAGAATGAGAACGAAAAGGTATTTTTTATCAATGTGAACATAAAGAAATACGTTGCAGGTAAAAAGACAAAGTAAACAATTTGAATTACTCTTTTTATTCATAGATGTGGGATTCCCACATTGGTTAATACATTCTGAATTTATTTGTGCGTATAATTTCAACTAGAATTATTTTAAGTTGGTAAATTATTAATTGACTCTGAGCAAATAATATCTCCATTAAAGAAGAGATAACAATCTTTGCACTATCGTAGCGTTGGTCCTGCTTCCTATTCCCGTCGAATCGAACTTTGTTAAAGGTAATAAAAAGTTTTGGGAAAATTTGAAAATCGGGTGGATAGTGATTCGTTACAATTTATATATATATATTTGGATGCCCCTGTGGATGCATTATAAGCACTAGAGAACTTAGTCCCTAAAACACTTCTGCTTTCGAGGAAAATTGAATATAAAAATTTACCGGTGCTCCCGGTGAATGTTGATGAATTTCAAAAAGCGCCTACGGCCGCACAATGGTTGCTGCGACCATGAAAATCTCAGAATATGAAGTTGTGATATATTTTATTTCTAAACGGGAATAGCTAATCGGTCGGTTTTAGTCAAGAAACATTGTTTTATGGCTTTATCAATATTTTGACCTTGAGAGGGAGCTTTACAACATAAATAGTTTATTATTATTTATTGACAGTCAAGGGAATGAACTACTGTACTACCACACATCCAGAAGAAAAGCTTACCCGGTACACAGATAGCAGAAACAGAAGCTTTGAAACCCCCGTCGCCTTTAAAATAGTCTGTTAAGAAATGGATTATGACGTCATCAGACATTAGAGTGAAGTTATCGGGAATGACGTCACCAGTTATGTCAGCCAGAGTGTCATCGAGGGATCCTGATGTACTGATTGAAACCTGTAAAGCAGAACGATAGGTCGTGTAACTTTCACGGAGACACCCTATATAGAGAGTGGATGTCGTCCGACAACGAGAAAAGTTCCGCATCAATGGACACGTATAATCCATGCTCCATGCTCACTTACACATTTCTATCAACAGTTAACCTTAAAATTTGTGACAGTTTTCTACGTTATCTGCAGTTTCCATAATTTGACTATTCAGAATGTATATGTAACTTGCATATTCATTATTGTCGCGCCTTGATCGAAAGATTCGGTTATTTCCGAGTTAAAAATCATATATTATTATTATCGTGAACATCCCTTTGGGCTAGCCAGATCTGGGGATAGCCTTGCATAAGTTTGTTCGAGGAATATCAGAGGTTAACAATAAATTAATGAAGAAATGAAGAGTTTCATTCCAAAAGGAGCTAAATCCACTTTGGGTACTTCTGAGTAAATCGCCTTTTTTTATTTCTCCACTTTCCCTTCAGCCATGTACCTTCATGCTGTTATATATGTTAAAGGTGTCAACCTGGACCAATAATATATGGTTTTAAAAAATCTAGAAGTTTTTTCTGATTTTTTATTAATTTTTAGATTTTTATTTTTCGTGGATTTAGCTCCTTTTGGAATGAAACATGATATTGTACCTAAAATTTGTGAAATTTTAGAATATTTTCTCAATAAAGTCACTGAAATGTATTTAAATTCAGTAGAAAACCTTTCCTTTTAAATAATAACAGTGAAATCACATCTAAAAATACCTTTGGAAAAGAAAGTAAACAACATATCACTGTTTCATTCCAAAAGGAGCTAAATCCGTTTCATTCCAAAAGGAGCTAAATCCATGTTTCATTCCAAAAGGAGCTAAATCCATAAATTTTAATAATTTAGTAAAAATCAGAAATAACTGGTAGATTTTGTTCTTATCATATAGTATTGGTCCAGGGCGACACCTTTAACATAAATAACAACATGAAGGTACATGGCTGAAGGGAAAGTGGAGAAACAAAAAAGTTGATTTATCCAAAGTGGAGTTAGCTCCTTTTGGAATGAAACCAATTTGGATTTAGCTCCTTTTGGAATGAAACATGATATTGTAACTTAAAAATTTCATACTTCCTGGTGAAATTTTAGAATGTGATATAGTGCATTTTGTTCCCATGTAGGAAACCATTTTTTTAAGAAAAAAACTCAGTTTTGGTAAAATATGGATTTAGCTCCTTTTGGAATCAAGCTCTTCAAATATAGACTAGATCGGACAAGTCATTCTTAGACACTTTCAAGGCAGGTTCGCAGTTAGTAGCAAGACTTTAATGCAGGACAGGCATTTTCACAGATGCAGAACTTATCCCACTAACGGAGGACACAATTTGTCCCTCGATAGCGACTGTTTATTACCTAACCTGTAATGGAAAGGACGCCTGCGCTTTAATTGAATAACGGTTACAATGCATCCATTTTTATCAGCCTTGTCAAGGTATAGGGAATCATCAGTCGAAGGATCATCATATCAAACTGTGTACTAATACAGAGTTCTAAATTAAATTCAAATAAATTCAACCAATATAGGTGCGCAGTTTATTACTGCGGTCATGAAAAAGAAGCGGAAATGAGAGGTAAGGTCTCCTTTCGCGCGATGTTACGTTAAGCCCCGCCCAGTTATACCGTTCTATTTCGACTAGTTATACTACGTTCACACACAACACTTTACGTGATTAGACTTGATTAGTCGTGATTCTTTGTTGAGTTCTAGTTCGAAACGATGCCCACACCCGCGTTTCGTTATACGACGTATCGTTAGTATAAGCGTCCACACTCACACACAATTTCATCGTATAAATTTCCCGAAACGGTATAACTAATCACCCCTAATCAGGGAAAGTGTTGTGTGTGGACACGGGGTGTAATGATAGGCCAATCATATTGAACATGACGGACAAATAAAGAGGACGAAATACACAGTTCCTCATTCTACCCTCAACAATTACTGTGGTAGACAAAGGAAGATCCCTTCATTAATTATGTAAAAATGTGTAAAATAGTTGTCACATGCATATTCACCTGTTCTACACATTTTTACATAATAGCAGTGAAGGGATCTTCCTTTGTCTACCACAGTCAGTGTTGAGGGTAGAACGAGGAACTGTATGCTTTGTCCTCTTTCATTGTCCGTCATGTTCATAGTGAATGTAGCCATGAAACCAACCTTATGATCACTGTATCTCCCAAGTTGAAAGTCTTGGAATACAATGGATAGTTGGCATGTTGGTTCGGGTAGAAAGAATCTCCAGATCACATTCTGTTCTCTAGGATAGCTGTTGTATGGATAGCTGAGTGAAGCGATGTAATACGTATCTCCACTCGACATGGTTACATTGGAACCTGTATGAGTAATAACATTTCAAACAACATTTCATATTAAGGAGATTTTATTTAAAGGCATTTAACATAAATGTATTTACATACAAAACAAAATCTGATCTGCCAATTTTTTAATTCTAATTACGTAAAGATACGGTGATGTTAGATAATCGACCCGACATGGAAAGAAAACATGAAGAAAAAATCTTCAAATAGCTATGAAAACTAAAAGTAATAAGATCGCAAAGTCGGAATCATCAGTCCGCACCGATATGTCTTCTTCCTCAATACAATGTTCATCTATTAGAACGCGCAGTTATTCCCAAATTTGGGATAATTTATTGAATGTCATTAAAGCCAAGATAAACTCATTCAAATAGAAGAGGTGTATATATTCATTATCATTATAGCGGGCGTAGGTAAAACACTCTTCATGGAATTCCATCAATGGCACTCATAAACCAATAATTAAACTTCAAATCTGATTTCTCAAAGATAATAGACTATCCTTCACATGTGTATGCACCTGGTGGAGCTGAGGATTGAAATGGGTGATACAAATGTTGCATTTTTTGGTGGAGTTTCTGATGGTATAACTCTATTATCAAATAAACAATTACTTTAGTTGTTATACAGAGAGCTGTTGCTGGGCTAGCGTCATGAGCGTCCCTGGACGGTGTGTGCGCTCTATAAGTTTACAATGTTTATATCATTTGTATTATTATCATCATCATTATTATTACTATTATCATCATTACAGATTAAACCATCCACAAAATTTACTTTTAACATTCAACACTTTTGCACACTTGGATTATTGAGAGATGTAGAAGTAACTGCCATATTTTACTTACCTATTACATCAACATACGGCTGAGTAACATCTGTTTTGGAAGAGATCAATATGAGTTGATTAGAAATGCGCCTTCTCTTTAATATTTATTGTTGTATTATTTCAATACGAATACAATATTTTACTTCTCGCTAATTCTCTCAGGAGACGGATCGTTGTCAAACATGTCAAAGAAGTTCGTTCGTTCGTGTCTCCTTAGATCAAGATTAATGTAATCTTGATCTTCGGAGTAGTTGCTACAACCGGCCGTGTCAGACACGTTGCCCCGGGGTGCAAGATAGGATTCTTGTAGCGTGCCCCCATTTAAAACAATTATACAATAACAGTTAACATTACATTTAATTAATAGTATGAAACTATTAAAATTACTCTCATGTTACGGGAAAAATATTGCATATATTATATTATGAATCAATTGATTTGGTCGATCCAGTTCGATGGCACAAACACGGCACTACTGGGCAGAGATCCTAATAATTACAGAGCTTGGTCTTGTTGCTCTGTTCGCCAGCAGTTTAAGGATATGGAATCCCGCGGCACATTACTCACACGAGTTCTAACAAGCCAATCTTACACAGAGCCTATAATAAGTAATGTTGTGCATGTACCACCCACCCGATCGATAAAAAACTCATAACTCATAACTGAATTTAAAAAAATGAAAATGAAGAAAAAGAAAGAAAGAAGAAAGTAAAAAGAAAAGAAAAAAACCCGAAATGGTAACCATCTAAAATGTCATAGTTGTGATAAATATCTATAAAGATTTATCAAGCACCAAAAGTAAATAATATCATGTTCAAGAAAAGGATACACTTTGTATTCTTCTTTCGTGTCCTCAAATGCTCTGCCAGGCCTTGGCACACTGAAGAGCCTTCTCATTTGCTGCCACCAGGTCTTCCAGGCAGCATTGGTCAATTAGGAGTGGACATCTTAATAGGTGTGGCATGGATTGGACGGATGTTCCACACTCGCAGTTGGTGTCTGTGTCGTCAGTATATCCCCATTTATTCATGTTGTATTGACATCGCCCCACCCCTGTGCGAAGCCTATTGAGGGACTTCCACGTCTTCCAATCACATCTATGGCCAGGGGGCAGCTGTTCCTTGGTCGGGATTGGTAGCTCTTCCCACAAGATCACTCTGGTTGAATGAGGAGGTCGTGACAGTGGCTGGACTGTATGAAGGAAGCTTTTCCTTGACTTCAGGCGGGTAGGGGCCGGTTGATGCGAGTAAGGGGATGGCGGGTGTCCTCAACTTGTCTGCTGCGTTCAGTCCTACTTGCAACTGTTCTGCGGACATCGGATGGAGCAATGCCGGCCAGGGAGTGCAAGCTGTCCACATTCGTGGGCTTGAGGCAGCCAGTGATGCATCTACAGCTTTCGTTGAGTGCTGCATCAATTTTCTTTGTATGGGATGATCTTCCCCATACAGGGCAGGCATATTCTGCTGCAGAGTAACACAACGCAAGAGCAGTTGACCTCAGCGTGGAGGAATTGGCACCCCAAGATGAGTTTGCCAGTTTCCGTAGGAGGTCGTTCCTTGTCCCAACTTTACCCTTCACCTTTTGAACATGCTGTTTGTATGAAAGGGTTCGGTCAAGAGTGATTTCAAGGTAGACAGGGTGATCGCAGTGTTTCAATGAGACATCGTTCCATTTCAGGGACAGCTTCCTCCCAGCATTGTAGTTGCGGAGATGGAACAAGCTAACCTGGGTCTTGGCAGGGTTAGCCTTCAGATGGTTGTTGTTGTAGTAGTCTGTCAGGTTGTCTAGGGCTGATGAAAGAGTGGCTTCTATCTTGTCTATGAAGGAATTCTGGACTGCTATGCCAAGGTCATCAGCATAGATGAAGCTTCTTGTCCCTGGGTACACTGGCTGGTCGTTAGTGTAAACATTAAATGGGACAGGAGCAAGTACGCTGCCCTGAGGTGGACCATTCTTTTGTTTCCTCCATCTGCTGCGCTTCCCGTTGAGCTCAACATAAAAGCGTCTATTTTCCAGGAGCACTTGGATAAGCTTAGTCAGATGGGAGTCCTTTGTCATGGTATAGAGCTTGTCGAGAAGTATACGGTGGTTAACATTGTCGTAGGCAGCTGTCAGGTCGACGAACACAACTCCAGTCGGTTCATTCTTATCGAAACCATCCTCGATGTGCTGGGTTAGATTTAGCACTTGGCCAGTGCACGATCTTCCAGGCCGGAAACCTGCTTGCTCTGGTATCAGGTGTTGTTCTGTGACTGGCCCCAGTCTGTTCAGGATGAGGCGCTCAAAGAGCTTGAAGAGGTGGCACAACAGGGAGATTGGTCTGTAGCTCTTTGCTTCGTTAGGGTCTTCATACTTATTCCTTGCCTCGTATTTTATGAGACGCAACATTTAGTGAAATAAAACAAATGTTCGAGAAGTGTGACTGTATGGGTTTCCATGTAAGTGTGCGCGTGCTTGTTTTGATGTGCGTGTGTGGGAGGGGGAAGGGGGGAGGGTGGGCTGGATGTGGGTCCGTGGATGTGCATGATAAATGAAATTCAACCTGATCTGAATAGACTTTAGGCATTCTATCCAATCACATTATGCTAAATCTTATATTACACAGCAGTCACATTTAGTACAGCGATCCATGTTAATAATACACTAAGAGACTAGCTATAATAACGTCATGGTATTCGATCTATAAAATAGACTTTACAACCCGTTCGGATCACAATCATCAGGTAGATTGCTCTAGCGTCTGTTTGGAGCAAGAGAAACATCATCATACATTTACACACCGAACCTTCTGGCTCTGAAGAGACGGGGAAACAACAATTTCGCAAACATAGCGATTTTATGCTCTCATATATAAGAGCAGAAATTTGTTGCGACAAACTTCTACTAGAAACTATAGAGTAGCGAAATTCAAATAGCGAGTTAGATCGCTACGGCTGCTGCGCTCTCGCTCTTATATAGGAGCGCGCAGCAGCCGTAGCCATCTAACACGCTATTGTATACTTCGCTACTATTATAGTTATTAGTAAGAGTTTGTCGCAACAAATTTCTGCTCTTCTATATGAAAGCACAAAATCGCTATGTTTGCTTGAGAGTAAAGTCCCGAAAAGACGATATCATGCTATCGGAGTCGGGCTAACTCGGACCAGGGGACAACTCGGCCCAGGTACAATAACGGTCAGTTTGTGCATGTTTAGGTTTAGGGTTAGGTTTAGGGGTAGGGTTAGGGTTAGGGTTAGGGTTAGAGTTAGGGTTAGAGTTAGGGTAAAATGACAAAAATGACCGTTTTTGCAGCTGGGCCGAGTTGTCCCCTGGTCCGAGTTGGCCCGGATCCATGCTATCATATCTGATGAATTACCTGATTCACAATCAGCGTATAGATGAGCTTTGAATCCTCTGCTGATATCAGGGCCATAGTTCGTGTTGCTGCTGAACCGAATGAGAACATAGTCTGATGTGATGGTTATAGGCTCCTTTATGACGTCACCATATAAGACAGCACGAAGGGAGTCTAATGAAGCAGATGAACTGATCTCAAGCTATGTGAATTAATGAAGAGAGCGTGAGGAAAAAGGTTAAATAATGGATTCCATTTGCGATCATAATCATAAATATATTCCATGAACATAAGAAGGTGCGATTTGCCTTCACCCTAAACAGTTTTAAACTTAACTACAGGGTCAGATAACAGGTCTTTAAACGTTTAGTGCAGCAATGACGGTTTAAGAAACAATAGGGGATGATGCCCCCATTTGAAGAAAATAAGAGATTCTGGGTAATGAATGCCCACCCAGACATAAAATGAAACCCCATCCTCCAGTTGCATTTTCCTTTCTTTATCTCTCAAGTCCTTTTCAATATAGGATATGCCATAACAACAGAGCTAAAATGGCTATCTAATAGGTTTTTATAATATTTCGATTTAAACAAAAAACGAAGAAAAAAAATCCATTCCATTATCAAATGCTGGGCTTAGAAAGAGGGCATAAGAGAATCTTTCAGTTGACTCAAAGTTACGAGGAAACTCTTGAAGGGATTATAACATTAGTATCTTGTAGTGGAAATTCAAAGAAATCACAAATATGTCAACTAATGTATCACTAGAAACTGGTAAGCTAACAGATGGCCATCGTAAAAGTTTTAGGTCAACTACATATCGGGTAATTTATAAAAAAAATACAAATGCAACCACCTCCATAGCATCTGGGATATTACGAGAGATTCGCCTGAAAAATAACGATGTTTTAATGACGTCACATAATGGACCAATACTGCCCAAGTAGACGACATCCCGTAGTGAATGAACATAATTGCAAAGCTATTATTTCAAACCATTCAAAAGGGGATATGAAACCGATTATGATAACTAAAATCTTTTGCTTGTAAATACACAGGATAGGGGTTAATTAACAATCAAAGAAACCAGACTTTCATATTAAGAAAAAAAAAAACGAATCATATAAGGACGACATTTGTTCCCTCTTGAAACGCCGAACATACCGCGGCGTGTGCAGCTGAATATACAATGGCGTCCTATTTTTGTTTACAAGCGACAGATTCCTTTATTTTATATCGCTGCATTTGCCATCAAAATAAAACCATGCGCGGGGTTTAGAGTGAGGCAATATATTATACATTTAGCCTGACGGTAGTGAAGTAAGAGAAAAAACTCCAAAGAAGATGAAAGAACATGCACTGAAAATATGTGAGATGTCATGGGACATCGTCTGCTTTTGCAAATCATGTCCATCCTGTGATCTCACATATCTCAGCAGCGTTCGGAGAGCTCTTCATGTGCTATGCCGGAGTTTAAGCGTTTTGTAATTTAAAATAATCATTACTTCGAATGTTTTCAAGCATTGAATTTTGATGACCTTGTCGAATTAAGGTTTCAACTTTGCAATAATGAAAATAGTTTTTCAAACCAAAGAATATCTACTTTAAGACCAGTGCACCCCGTCCCCATTCCGCCCGCCCCACAACAAGACTCATATATATCACACGAAATTTAGGATGAAAGATCATTTACCTTGTCAGAATCCGATCTGGTTGTAAAATTATCAAAATCGATGGTAAGTTGACATTCAGGGTGAGGGATTTTGATAAGCCAGATCCTACTGATGTAAGGAGGATGGTTTTGAGGGAAGTCGGGTGATGCGATATTGCAGGAATCCCCGCTTGATAGTAATATACCAGAGCCTAGGTAAAATAATGAGACACACGTTAGCTTTGTATAATTACCTATTTTACACGTCATTAAAGGTAGTTAGTTTCTATTGACATATTATTTTGTTATCCTTGGAATCATGCATGTGTCATACATTTCATAATTTTGTTTTAGTAAAATAGCGTTGCTCTCTCAGTGTTAAAACATTTTTTTAAGAGGCTATATACAGATTGAATATAATCGTTTTCAGTTGTATTGTAGGCTTATTATTGAATGTTTTCTTAATGTAACAGTTGAGGCTCTTCAGCATATTTTTCTCCAGATTCTTATAATTAATATGTTGTGTTATTGGAAGTCGCTGTTTCACATAACAATTCTTACTGCATAAGAAACAACGTAGATTGACTTCTATCTAGGTCCCTGAAAGGATATATTATTACAATAGTATTAACTGAATATCCGGGAAAATAAAGCTTGATTATCTGTATATTTACCTCTCGTGTCGATGTATGACTCGGCGTTTACATCTGTGGGAGATTGGGTAAGAAGTAAAAAGTTTAGTTGGTATTTAATGGCAGGAAAAAAGATATATCGGTCAACCGTACTTCAATATATAATTGAATTCAAACTATGGGGCAAACGAATTTTACTAAGCAACTATGTTTCAAGTTTTCAAGTTTATTTGTTCCACATTTAACAAAAAATATAGATATACATACAAAATATTTGTTTAAATTGATATGTATACAGTGCGTCCAAGACAAAACGAAACCGAGAATTATCGATGATTTATCATAACTCACAATTATAATGAATAAACTAATCAATGATACATATTCGTAAAGCTTAGATCCTCCTCTTTCATTTGATGCAACTCATATGATGCATATTTCACGCATTAGTGATTTCAAACAATTTGAAGAAAGGGTACCAACAATTCATTTAGCGAACCGTATTTGCATTTCAAAGAGATAACCATATTCCTAGAAAGTTCATATGACACCTCAATCAGAAAAAAATGAACCAGTAATAACATAGTTCTGTTTGTTTAAAGCAATGCTTGCATTTCCATAATTTTATTAAACGAATTCGTTTTCACTGGCTGCCTACCATAGCAAAAAACAAAGTTGACAACAGATTTAACTCCGTTTCGTTGACGATCAGCCATGCATACGAGTCTTTGGTCACCTATGTTTTTTGTTAGGGCAGGCTGCCAGTAGAACGGATTCGTAAATTATGGAAATGCAAGCATTACTTTTGACAGAGTAGAGTATGAAAATTAAAGAAAAGCAGTGCTTGTATATTATAGGTTAATGGTTAAATAAAGATTGTAGATGTAAAAACCGTAGCAGTAGAGAAAGACGTAATATACAGGGGGAATTAAAACACAACGGAATTAGGAAAATTATATACAGAATAATGCATCAGCACCAATACCCAGAGTCACGTGGTTAAAATGCGAAGTCATCCAATCAATTTAGTAAGCATAGAACCGAGTTACTTGTTTGTATACATTAAAATCCGATGCATGCATCAATAATTACAAATTAAGATTATCATTGGAGAAAAAAAAAAGATTGGGAGGGGAAACAAATTATATTAGACGTAAGAATTAAAATGAACATCTCAAAGTTTGAGCTTAAAGCTTATCAGTACTAGTTTACAGGAGGGATTAGACCGCCCTGTAAGGTCACTGGACAGGTGGTTATCTCATCAACTCAGCTCTCAGTTAACATAAGAAAAAGAGGATCATGGGGGACCAATGGTCACCGATTAGGCATTGTTTAATATAGAGAGGGCGCAAGTAGCTACAAGCAGTACAGTGGGCCTTTAAAGAAATTTAACGATGGTGCGTCGTCAACCTCTGAATTTAAACCATTCCAAAAAGTGGGACCTGTATACATAATTGTTTCATGGGCATAAACTGTCCGGATTGGGGAGGAGATGAATATTGTCTCTTTGTCTTGTTGGATAGGAGTGCATAAGGCTGTTTATAGCAAACAATGGGAGGGAATACATTTGGCGAATCACCCTTACTTTAATAGTTGATGCATGAAAATTCCGAGGAAATAATTGTATAAATTAGAAACTTTCAGAAAACGATTTGCAAGAAAGCATGTGCCTAGAAATCAGCCAGATTTAATTTTTCATATTGCTCTTTTTCGGATCATGATTTTTCAAAAAATATTTTAAACCATTTCTCCACGCTAGCACCCCGTAGATTAGATAAGGCAGTAACATAGTTGGATACAATATTTTTTAAGACATGAGATGGAAAAAAAGATTTTAACTTATTTTATTACACCTACGTTCCTAGACAACAGTTTGCTTAAATGACCAATTTGAGTATTCCATGTTAGTTTACAGTCGATAAAACATCAAGAAGTGTAGTGGAATTATCTGGGTATCATTAACAAAAGCTAGTCCTAGTAGCTCAGAGAGTGTATTGCTGAAAATTATGAAATTAAGCCCCGATGGGGTCTGATCGTAAAACACGGGGTGAGCTTTTGCCAGGCTCATGGACACCGTCTTAACCAGCCATTTTCAAAAAACCTCCCTCATCGCGATCAGCTGGCGCGCGCTATGTACATGTATATATTGTTCAAGGCCCTGACGTCATCTACCCGGGTAGAGTTCCGCGCGCGTCTTAATAGGTCGTTTATCAGGATGTCATCCGGACAACGTCCGGACGTTACCGCGATCTCACCCTAGCCCGACTAGGGTGAAACTCACCTCGATTTCACCTCGATATTGTCCGGACGTTACCCCGATTGACTGGGTAGAATGTCATCCGGACAACAGACGGGGTTTTAGTCTTGTTCACATTTATAAAGGATTTGTTTTGTTTGTATCCATACGACTACAAATTGCAATTCAAAATTCAGGGAATCAAGAACAATTCTAGGATTGGGATGTGAGTAGAAAATGCTTGAGTCGTCTGCAAAGTTTAGGATATAAAGAACCGTGGATGAATTTATGAAGCCATTCATATGGATAATAACAAGAAGCGGACCCAAAAGAGCCTTGTGGTACCCACAAGTTATTGATAGAATACTTGTATTAAGCACTATATACAAATTAAATATTATTATTATTATTTGGGTTACAATCATTAATAGAAGCAAATCGGGTCCTATTGGTTAGGTTATTTCTGAACCACTCCAAGGCCGTTCAATATAATTTCTAGTATTGAGACAGTTTAACCAATGACAGATCATGAGGTTTGAGGTTATGTTTAACCAATATCAGACAGGGTATGATTAACCAATATCAGACAGGGTATGATTAACCAATATCAGACAGGGTATGATTAACCAATATCAGAAAGGGAATGATTAACCAATATCAGACAGGGTATGATTAACCAATATCAGACAGGGTATGATTAACCAATATCAGAAAGGGTATGATTAACCAATATCAGACAGGGTATGATTAACCAATATCAGAAAGGGTATGATTGACCAATATCAGACAGGGTATGATTGACCAATATCAGACAGGGTATGATTAACCAATATCAGACAGGGTATGATTAACCAATATCAGACAGGGTATGATTAACCAATATCAGACAGGGTATGATTAACCAACATCAGAAAGGGTATGATTAACCAATATCAGACAGGGTATGATTAACCAATATCAGACAGGGTATGATTAAGCAATATCGTATCAGAGATGCAGCCTTTTCCTACTAAGCTAAAATTCATCGTATCTAGAGATGATTAGTATAAACATGTTTTCCCTGTGTGAACATCGTTTATACGATGTTCGGATAGATACGAAATCGCGATTCATACGCCCCTCACAGCAGGCTGCAGATACGAAAGTTCGTATCCAGAGAGCTTGAAATTGTGTGTGTGAACGGTTTAAACGTGTTCAAACTGGATGGAGCGTGTGCTTTGTTTGATATGACCTGACCTTCAATGCGCAATGGCACTACTGCGCATTTTAAGAGCAGTAGTTAATCACGAAACAATTAACGATCGCACCGAAATTTCTGTGTGTGAATGATGTCGCATGTACAGCTGATTAGTTTAAAACCCTTTAAACTAATCATGTTTATAGAATTTTATCTGTGTGTGAAAAGGCTGCAAGTTTAACCAATGCCCTTTCAGAGTAAAGTATCCACTTTCATTTCACATTATGTTTGGCCTATCACGAATCAGATCACTCATCATACTTATAGAAATCAATAGAAACATACGTGCAAAAATAATAAATACACATATAATTAAAAAAGTAAAAGAGTTTGGAGACAATATATAGATTTACAGTAGGCTTGCGGGTGCACCATGTGAGAGAGAGAGAGAGTTGAGGAGTCCTGAAAAAGACTCTGACTCGGTAATCTTTCTTGGGGTGTGTAGTCCTGAAAAAGGACTGTTTGTTATCTTTCTTAGCATATAGTTCTAAGGAGAACTATAGCGCTTGGAGAGGATGAGTGGCTCGACGTTTCGAACAGGTTGACTATCTGTCTCCACAGGCAGCATCTAATATATAGATTTTAAAACCCTTCCCTATTTTGAGTGATTGAGAGAGAGAGAGAGAAAATGAAAAATGGTAGATGTAGAGGAAAGGAATTGAATTACCAAAGACGGCATAACATATACCTTGATCACACGTAGGCGTTAGCACAGCACTGAATCCATGAGATGTAGGATTCTTGTGGTCATTTGATTTATACCACATCCACACAACGTTTGAATCTATATCGAACCACCTCGGTATGGTCGTCTGGGTGTCAGTCAAGTTCCAAATCTATAATTGACCAAGATGACAATAAGTAAAGATGAGGAAAGAAAATTGACAGAAAAACACCGTACTTAGTTTTTCGTTTCCGAAAATGGGAGAATTTAACAAAGAACAATAATCATTACTAGGAGTTATTTTTGCTTATTATTGTTATTACTTATCTCCCCCCCCCCCCTATACCTGGCTACCATTTTGCAAATATAACCATCCTGCGATTGTGTGGTTTCATTCATTATTTCTTTCTTTAGTTATTTTTTTGTTTGTTATACAACTACTCATTTGTATTAATTCTAACTATCTGCCCGAAAAGAAATGATAAAATAAATAAGTTACTTTACATGATTTGTAGATGTATCGTTTCCTGATCCGATCTCTAGAACCTCTCCGGGAACCTCCGCATTGAGGGTACGAAATTCAATCCGGACAGTACAGTTCTGCGGAGCTTTGACAATCCAGGTATAGAAACCTTCAACGTCCCCAAAATATGCCCTGTAATTAGGTGTCTTGACGTTCAACGACCCGTTACGTCCAAGTTCGATCACGTTTTCTGTAACAAAAAATAAAATAACGTCTTCCTTATAAAATGGACCCACTCAGGACCAATATCATCTTTCCGTTCTCCAAATGGCGTATTGTCGCTATTGCCCCAGTTTTGCCGACGGGTGCGCAATCGCAGCATGTGTCATCATCCGTTAAAGAGGCATAGTAGTAGGCTCTCATTGGGAGTTTAACACCATTTGGGTGTTTACCCAATAACAAGTCTTGTCAATCACCGGGAGTGGCATCAATTTTTATGACGACCAGACCTTACATGATGCTCTGCATTTTCCCCAGTAGCCCCATATGGAAAAGTAATAATTTGACATTTCCCTCGCCCGCAGACTCTCCGAGAGACTAAGGTGTATTTCTTGATGGCACGAGTATGCTGTTCGCGAGACTTGTACACCCATTACTTGTGGTTCCATTGAGTCTGGTGTCAGCGAATGTTGACCTACTGCACATGGAAACTGACTACCATGTACCTTTAAGTCTCACATTGCTGGTTAATGCATCCATCTTATCCAGTCAGAACATTCGCTGAAATGCCTTTGATTTGTATGTTTTCTAATTTGTAATTATGTACATGTGACTAATACTTAGGACGCCTTCCCCTCCCCCCATTAAAAAAAAGTATTGGAAATTAGACCCACCTTGTACAGTAAGAGCTGTCGTATAGTTGACTGCAGCAGCTAAGTTACTTGCTTCACATGTGTAGCGACCATCATGTACAACAGTAGCATCAGCTATCATTACGGAGCTAGAGAAAGCACCATTTACAAACTCAATTCCAACTCCATCTGGAATAGCTTCACCATCTTTTAGCCACCGGAGGTGAAGAGGGAGGTCACCGCGTAGTACAGTACACGTAATTCGAGTCGGTAGACTTCGTCGAATAGTTATGGGTTCGATGGGCTGAATGACTGGAGGAACTGTGGGGGTGAAATAAGCATATACCCTTAAAAGTAAACTTGATCAAAACACTCTTTACATATTCATTGGATAGAGAACTCTAAATTAGTAGGTGGTGTTCGGTAAAGTTACAGAGATCTGAATGGGTAGGTGGTGTGTGGTTAGGTTTCTGAAATCTTAATGGGTAGGGGGTGTTCGGTTAGGTTTTAGAGATCTGAATGGATAGGGGCGTTCGGTTAGGTTTCAGAGATCTGAATGGGCAGGGGCGTTTGGGTAGGTTTCAGAGATCTAAATGGGCAGGGGATGTTCGGTTAGGTTTCAGAGATCTGAATAGGAAGGTGGTGTTCGGTTAGGTTTCAGATATCTGAATGGGTAGGGTTTTTTTGGTTAGGTTTCAGAGATCTGAATGGGTATGTGTGGTGTGTGGTTAGGTTTCTGAAATCTTAATGGGTAGGGGGCGTTCGGTTAGGTTTGAGATATCTGAATGGTTAGGGGCGTTCGGTTAGGTTTCAGAGATCTGAACGGGTAGCGGGGCGTTCGGTTAGGATTTAGAGATCTGAATGGGCAGGGGATGTTCGGTTAGGTTTCAGAGATCTGAATAGGTAGGTGGTGTTCGGTTAGGTTTCAGATATCTGAATGGGTAGGTTTTTTTTGGTTAGGTTTCAGAGATGTGAATGGGTAGGAGGCGTTCGCGGTTAAGTTTCAGAGATCTGAATGGGTAGGGGGTGTTCGGTTAAGCTTCAGAGATCTGAATGGGTAGGGGCGTTCGGTTAGGTTTGAGATATCTGAATGGTTAGGGGCGTTCGGTTAGGTTTCAGAGATCTGAATGGGTAGCGGGGCGTTCGGTTAGGATTTAGAGATCTAAATGGGCAGGGGATGTTCGGTTAGGTTACAGAGATCTGAATAGGTAGGTGGTGTTCGGTTAGGTTTCAGATATCTGAATGGGTAGGTTTTTTTTGGTTAGGTTTCAGAGATGTGAATGGGTAGGAGGCGTTCGGTTAAGTTTGAGATATCTGAATGGTTAGGGGCGTTCGGTTAGGTTTCAGAGATCTGAATGGGTAGCGGGGCGTTCGGTTAGGATTTAGAGATCTAAATGGGCAGGGGATGTTCGGTTAGGATTTAGAGATCTGAATGGGCAGGGGATGTTCGGTTAGGTTTCAGAGATCTGAATAGGTAGGTGGTGTTCGGTTAGGTTTCAGATATCTGAATGGGTAGGGTTTTTTTGGTTAGGTTTCAGAGATGTGAATGGGTAGGAGGCGTTCGCGGTTAAGTTTCAGAGATCTGAATGGGTAGGGGGTGTTCGGTTAAGCTTCAGAGATCTGAATGGGTAGGGGCGTTCGGTTAGGTTTCAGAGATCTGAATGGGTAGCGGGGCGTTCGGTTAGGATTTAGAGATCTGAATGGGCAGGGGCGTTTGGTTAAGTTTCAGAGATCTGAATGGGTAGGGGGCGTTCGGTTAGGTTTCAGAGATCTGAATGGGTAGGGGGTGTTCGGTTAGGTTTCAGAGATCGGAATGGGTAGGGGGTTTTCGGTTAGGTTTCAGAGATCTAAATGGGCAGGGGATGTTCGGTTAGGATTTAGAGATCTGAATGGGCAGGGGATTTCGGTTAGGTTTCAGAGATCTGAATAGGTAGGTGGTGTTCGGTTAGGTTTCAGATATCTGAATGGGTAGGGTTTTTTTGGTTAGGTTTCAGAGATGTGAATGGGTAGGAGGCGTTCGCGGTTAAGTTTCAGAGATCTGAATGGGTAGGGGGTGTTCGGTTAAGCTTCAGAGATCTGAATGGGTAGGGGCGTTCGGTTAGGTTTCAGAGATCTGAATGGGTAGCGGGGCGTTCGGTTAGGATTTAGAGATCTGAATGGGCAGGGGCGTTTGGTTAAGTTTCAGAGATCTGAATGGGTAGGGGGCGTTCGGTTAGGTTTCAGAGATCTGAATGGGTAGGGGGTGTTCGGTTAGGTTTCAGAGATCGGAATGGGTAGGGGGTTTTCGGTTAGGTTTCAGAGATCTGAATGGGTAGGGGGTTTTCGGTTAGGTTTCAGAGATCTGAATGGGTAGGGGGCGTTCGGTTAGGTTTCAGAGATCTAAATGGGCAGGGGGTGATGTGTAAAATATTTAGATGGTCATTTCTCTATCATGTACATCAACGGGTCCATTTCCGTAGGCTTCACGGGTAACGCTTTTGGAACAGCTTCCCTTTTTCTAAGATTGAAGCTTGAAACGAAATTATCCAGCAGAAACTTACTTGTTTGAATCGTCTCTGTAGTAGTGACTGTGAGAAGAGAAAGGAAGTAGCATGAGTGTCGTGGTTAAAAAACACTTTTGAATACTTTTCATCTGAATAACTTCAAAATTGAAACGCTCATCAAACTTAAAGATAAAGTTGAGTTGTACATGGTCATGCGATAGCATTGTGAAAGAAACGGTGTGGAATCGATCAAAAAGTTTGATCATCTAGCATATAAGTATTGATGTGTCCTTCAAGGTTCTGGACTCATCAAAATTATAAGGAATTTGGCACAGTCTTGGTAAAGTTACAAGCACTGTACACAGAAAGATGTATATGGGAATACACAAACATGTGGCTGTTACATGCCATATTTAGCATATGAAGGTATTTGAAGAGCCATGCTTTTCAGAGAAAATGTTTTATCTGATGTTCTTCTACACTTGCATAATAACAATAATAACGCTCACAAATTATTGTTCACCTCTTTCCAAAACTCAACCTTCTCTTTAAGTTACAAGAATGCTTTTGATATTTATTAGATAAGATACTAAGCTTACATTAAAAACACAACAAATGCACATGATAGGATTTTATCATTTATCAATTAAGTTGACACCACCCCCTCCCTTTCAAATAAATACCAGCCGTTCCAGATTAGCATTGGAGAAAAAAGGACTGGGGAGGGCAATACCGAGTTAGCCCAAACACCAAGACAGGTTGTTTATACTTACTGTCACATAAGGGAGAGATATCAGCTTGAAATCCTCTCGTTTGAGTACTTCGATCGCTGTCAAATTTAACGATTGTCACCGTGGAATCGATAAAGCTTGGTTCAGGTATGACGTCACCATTGAACTCACTGACCACAAATTCTGGTGTCCTGATTGTAACCTAAAACGTGATATTGAAAATTACTCGCAACCATCCATTCCTGTACAGAATGCGACCGAAAAGACTCTCTAAAGTCACTCTAGGGCAGCGTATCCATGTAAGAAAACTTGAAAGGTCTTTTACACAAACACGTTTAGACAACTTTCACAAAACTACTACTTTTTTCTTTTATTTTGCCCCCCCCCCCCACCCCCACTTGCAGAGACCTGGGGAGTGTTTCAAAAAGACTAAGATCGAATTTAAGTTGGACTTAACTAGGGCAGGTTGTTCGTTTATGATCTTTAGATAATATGTTTTCCTTCAATAATGAATTAACAGCAAGTGTAAATTCTGTAGATTTGTGACCATGATGTGTACGTCCGTTGAGAGACCAATGCCAGTAAATGGTAGAATCAAACAGTGGCATGAACAACCTGCCATAGTTAAGTCTAACTAGCATTCGATCTTAGTCTTTGTGAAACATCCCCCCCCCCCCTGTAGAATATTAATCTGCTCATCTGCATTCAGAGAGGCAACACTCCATGCAGTCATTATTTCTCATTAATTTCAAGTGTTGCAGCCTCCTGTTGGAACCCAAATGCTACAGAGGCGGATCGACGCTCGGTACACACTCAGACGAACGACAGGTCAGTGGTTAAGCAGTGGCCTCTTAAGAGAGGTCCCAGGTTCGATGCGCTCGTGCACTTTGGTAAAGCACTAATACGCATTACGAAGTCCCTCGCAGTTGACTTAAAGCCGCAGGTCCACTGGTGTCTTACTTACAAGTATACACATGCCTTTTTTAGCAGTTAGGTAAAATAACCAAATAAATAAACAAACAATGTTTGATTGTACATAACTGTGATAAAGCTATCATTTACTTCACCATGACATCTCAAACTGACCCACAATATATCATCTGGAGAAGGTTCATAACTTATTACTAGTTCTTAATCCTCGGATCACACCACACCATTACTGAAACAATTGCACTGGCTCCCAGTGATACAGAGGCTAGACTGCAAAATACTATCCATGATATTCAAAATCAAGTCAAATCAGGTTCCTAGCTACATAGTGGAGATGGTAGAATGGATCATGGGATATTAGGTCATGTTGCATTGCTGCCCCCACGTGCCTGGAATGCCCTACCCTTGGACCTGAAGTTGAGCTCATCAATTAGAACTTTTCAACAAGAATTGAAGACCTTGTTGATGAATAGTGCGTACTGTTTACATTATGATTATTACCTGAGTTAGAATATTTGTTTTATTACTTTTGGTTATTAGTAGTATGTCTGTAGCTATGTTGACCATATGTCACCTTTTCATTTCGTAATATCTTAGTTATGTTGAATTTTGATTAATGACCATATTCTTGTAGTCTGTATGATTTGTTGATATCTACGTAAAGGGTGATTGTATGTCAGTAGTGGTGTACGCAATATAAATGTAGAGTTGTTCATTTTTATTATTATTATATCGTTATCTACGGATAGCTTCTAGGAGCTGCTAAAAGGTTATATAATTGCAAGGTTTCAAGGAATGATGAAGGAAATAAAGAGATAAGTTTTATAAAATGGAATCAAACCTTGTCAAAGGTGCCCTCTGTTACAAAGTCATTAATGACGATATTAAGCTGACAGTTATCTGGTATCCTGAACATCCATGCTATGTGTTGTTCGCTCCCATAATCATTTGGATAGTTGGGGGATGATATGGAATAAATATCACCGTTGGACAGTGCTACAGCAGTACCTGAATAAAAAGGGGGAAAATTTAGTATTAATGTGTGTCAAAGGAAACTGGAGGCGAGATAATGCATCGTAGGGTCAGACAATTATCAGGGCTATGCGGTAAGCTTAGCCGACTTGTGGTTAATTGGCCAATTATTTATGCATTCAAATTCATGGATACTTCTGCGACAAGTAGCTTGTTATGAAATATCTAACTCGTCTATTACTATCTGTAAACGAGAAGGCAGGTGACATACATGGTATAAAATGCTAGGTTGGATAAACCTCTGACAAGCTTTTACCTTGAAGGCAAGCGTATGAAATCCAAATATATCACAAAGGTTTACAGCGTGCACTTACCTCTCGTATCAAAACTATGCTCGATCGCGGCATCTGTACATAGACAAGAACAAGAAAACCTTATCAGTCAAAGAGTATTTGGAATATAAATGCATACAGTTTATTGCAAGCAAAGATAATTGTAGCTCGAAAGTATATCTGTCAATCATTAGTTATTATATATAAGGTTGATATCAGCTTTCAAGCTATGTTGATAACCAATGACATACTGTACTAAGGAGGAATTAAATTTGCTCTATAGCCTTGATGCCACCCGTTAATATCTATCTCTATACAATGAATAAGTATGATTGATATTAGGTCTAATACTAATGTATGACGACGAACAGTATCTTAATATCTTAATGGGAAGTATTTACAGTTTAGCCCTAAAGCCATGATTGTCCAATTGATTAACTTTAAAGCTAATAGTGACATCCAATTACAGTGGCTTAGCTAACAGGGGGGGGGGGGTGGGGGTGGGGTCAGAGGCACGTCCCCCTTCACTATTAATGACAGGAAGGGGAGGGAAATAGAATATAGAGAGGAGAGGGGAAAGGCAACCTAAGGATGACTCGACCCTCTCCTGAACAAATTGCCTAATTGTTTTCTTACATGTAATGTACCAAATATTTCCGATGTTCCGCCCCCATTACGGCAATGCCCTTTAATTACTGACGTTACGCCAGTGCCAAAAAAGACTAACCATTTATACAAGTAGATGTGACGTGAGCATCGAAGCCGTGATGTCTGGAGCTATCATCCTGATCTGATGTGAATCTAACCCAAGCCAGGTTAGACTTTACCTCAAGGTATCTCGGCACCGAGTTCCCAGACAAGAAAAACAGCTAAAATATAATATAAAGGTATATATTGAATTATTTCAATCTAACAATTTAACAATGTCAAGCCTCAAAATACTCACACGCCTGTTGCACTCGTGACATCATTTCGATATCGTTATTGGACCTGCAAGCTAATTATGAAGATTATGAAGGCAATTATTTCATGCCCCAGTTGTCCAGTGACACGTTGCTCTCTACATAATATCGATAGAAATATCAATGTTGAAATACAGGGGCGTCGCAAAGGAACAACGAGTGATATTTATTCAATTGTGCTGGCAAATGTTTAATAGAATTATAAAGGTCACTTTTAACTTGTTTAATGCATGTCCAAAAAGTGGACATCATCAATGTGGACTTATCAATGACTTTGGTCCAACATCCGTCCTATTAAAAATGTGTTTGATGTTAACGTACTTCATTGGAAGACATATCAGGTCCCTTTCCGATATGAAGAACATCTTGGTTGAGTTGCGTATCGAATCGAGCGAATTCTACGAGAATATCGCAGCTTTGTGGAGCCTTTATCACCCAAGACTCGTCACTATCTGTCAGGTAGTAGAGAGGGTAGTTAGATGTCTGCAGCCGATACGTCTCATTACGCTCCAGCTCCACGTGGTATCCTAAAACAAAACGAAACGATAGATGAATAGATGAAAACAAGAACGACAACAATAAAAAAAAACTAAAAAAAATCATCTGCCAAATGCTTCACAGTGCATCTAGGAGATGACATATTCATTTGTCTACTTTAATACGATTCAGTTATACGTGAAATTCTACAACAAAAACAATTTTCAAGGTTTAACGACCAGGGCGCTGTGAGGTGGACAGGGAATACTTTATAGAACATGTGCTATCATGCTGCCTATTTCATGTATCATAATATGAATGGCCCTCTTGTGATGCGGTGGTCTAGATCAGCTTGACAAATCATGTCCTGTTCGCCGATGACACCATGCTGTAAGTGGTTATGACATCCAAAGATCACGAAGGCTCTATGCAGAAACTTAGCGAGGGCCTCTCCGATATCATGTCCTGTTCTTCTTCCAATAAACTCAGGTTAAATCAATTTAAGACAGAGGTACATGACGTCACCTCTCAGTTTAGGAGCTGTTACAGTCTTTCACGCTTTAATGCTGCCGGCGTTGACATAATTAGAAGTAGTTCGTAACCTTATTGTCACTGTTAATAATGTACTGAATATGAAACAACATATCAGGAATATTTGTCGGACGACTGCTTTCTTCATCTCAAGGATTAGTAGACTTCGAAATTATTTGGACAGACAGAATGGTTGATCCATGCTTTTGTGACTTCTCGTTTAGATTATTATGATGGACTGTACTTTGGCTTGCCGAATTCCACCATTTGTCCACTTTAAATTTAATTATTCAAAACATTGGCAGCCCGTCTCATCACCCGCCAAACCAGAAAATATGAACACATAACTCGTACTTTACTAATCTCTTCATTGGCTTACTATTTTAATTTGCATTCACTTTAAGATTTTGTTGATCTTATTCAAAATTAAAGATGGGTATGTTCCATCATATGTAAACGACCTTCTCAAACCTATTGTTCATTAATACGGTCAGCAACACATGCTACTTTCCAATACGCCCCTGGTCCCCGAACCAATACCCGTTAAGGGGATAGTGCTTTTGCTGTTGCAGCCCCTGAATTATGGATTAGTTTAACAATTAGTATCCATCAATCCCCAACCGTAGAGTCGTTAAAGGAAAGTTTTGAAGTATCTCTTGTTTAAAGATAAAGGTGAGTTCTGGTAATGCGATTGCATTGTGAAAGAAAAGGTGTGGAATGGATCAGAAACAGTTGATCATGTAGCATGTAAGTATTGGTGTGCACTGCAAGGTTCTGGAGTCATCAAAATCATCATAAATTTGGCCGAGTCTTGGTAAAGTAACAAGCACTGTACACAGAAAGCTATATATGGGACAACACACATGGTGTCGGGGCTAGTACTACTTGATTTCCTTGTCTTTCTATGCTCATTACTCAGCCAGTATACATTTTCTTCCAACATTGTTTGGCACATGTCATTTATTTGTAATCTTGAACATCCAGTGTAAGTTTCGTTTGATTCTGTGAGAATCATTTTTTTTTTAAACCAGAACTGGAGTTTATCTTTAATTGTAATTTACAGGACAGTCTTCTTCAAACATGCTATGTCCCATTTGCAGCCAACATCGAATTCTGTAGAACTTTAACACCATTAATATTAATTCGGATATTTGTACATAAACGTACTGTTGACTTTGTACCAATACAAATATATTTAGATTTGTTCACATACCAAATAAAATTATTATGAAAAAAACACATTCATTCCCCCCAAAAGACAAGTCATGATTTAAAGTTGTTTCTAATTCCATAGGATTTCCAGCAGCAAAATAAAGACATGTATCGTCTGCATATCATGACACTTTACTTTTCGTGATCACATAATGTAAATCATTCGTCATTAATGTAAATGACAAAGGGTCGGGTTTGCTCCCTTGCCGGACACCACTCTGAATCAATGATAGTGGAGATATATTACCATTTACAGTAGTTAACTGTTGATCATGATTTGTTTAAATAAAAACCAATCGACTGCCAAGACATTGATCTACATTTACCACACTCCACCCAGGTGAAGTAAATGGGTACCTGGTAGGAATTTATTCCTTGAAACGCAGCGCGCGTAACAGCTGCACTGCTAAAGCCAGGGTAATTATGCTGCTTTGTTGTAGAGCGCTTAGAGACTTCTGATAAAGTAAGTGTTAGGCGCTATATAAGCAAGGATAATTATTATTATTCAATTTCAAATATTTGGTATGTAGTATTTACATTATTTTAAGTAAGAACATCATCCAAGTTTGTTTGACTCAAATCATTTTTAAAATTTATTCATATTAATTTGCTTCAAATTTCGACTAAAATTGTACAGTACTTATGATTTACTGGAAGACAGCGACACCTTCTCCATACATATACAAATGTAGCAATCACTAAGGCATATTAACGTAAATCAATCGAAAATCAACCAATCAACCAATCAACCGATCAACCAATCAATCAACCAATCAACCAATCAACCAATCAACCAATCAACCAATCAACCAATCAACCAATCAACCAATCAACCAATCATCCAATCAACCAATCAACCAATCAACCAATCAACCAATCAATTAACCCATCAATCGATTAACCAACCTGGTTTGCAGTCTGCTGTGACGTTAGCCATAAAACCACGAGCCGTGGACGATCTTTCCAATGATGTGAATCGAATATAAGCGTAGGTCGAGGAGTCTTCCATTTGAACGAGGATAGGATGGTTTAAGGGTACGCTCCCTCCTGAAAAGCTTTCTTTGTCTTTGGTTGATGCGCCCTCTGTAGTTCTAAAAAGCACCTGAAGAACAGCAACAAAGGGAATATAATAATCATTTTCTGGAATGGGGTCTAATTAATGCTTCTATTTTAAGGTAGGCGATATGACGTACCTTCATTCCACACCCACACCCACAACCGGATACAGGCACACAAGATCGGGGGGGGGGGTGGGGGGAAGGGGTTTACAGTAGGCTTGTTAATTTGTTCAGGATTATTTGAAAAGTTGAATGATCAAGAACCTACACATTGTGAATTTCGAATCGGTTGTCATTATTTTTTCATTAATTATGATCACAGAAATTACTAAAATCTCTAGTAAAGGTTCTAAAATATATTTTTAACGATATAGATGTTATAGTGCTGTAAAAATAAACGAAGACCTCTCCTTTATCCCAGTTGATTTCGGTTTCCTCTTTATCATTGCATTTTCCCCTGATAAGTACAAGGCATTTCTGTATTATTCAAAGGTATTCTTTAATGTGATCTAGAACAAAGTTGTTATAACGGAGATCAAATGCTATCTAAGTATTACCTGATCATTATCTTGTTCAGTTTCAAAGTCTAAGAAAGTGACATAGATTCTACAGTCTCGTGGGTCTGGTAGCTGAAAGGCCCAGGTTAATGTTATACCCGGAGGATAGTTGTTTGGATAGTTCGGTGAAGCGATCTGATACGTCTCTCCATCCAATGCCTGATATCCAGAACCTATGAAATGAATTAAATCAGACGTGAAGAGATCCCAGGTTATTAGAGGAATAATCAGACAACATTTTGCATACTTTCCACTAGTTCAAAAATATAATAATAATAACAACAATAATAATAATAATACAAATTATAATAATAATAATAATAAATGGGTCCTTTTTTATCGCTCATGTCTGTCGAAAATGGACACTCCTGACGTTCCACAATTAAGTACATTTGATAACAACTACAAATTCCAGCGTGTATATCTGTATTACCTTGCTTTGGAGCAAAATTTTAATTTCACAATTAGACTAGTCATCTATGAACTTAATATGTAGGTATTGCTCAACCAATTAAATAGTTTGATGTGGCTGTTATAAGGACGAGCAGCAATCTTTGGGGGAAATGTTGATTTAAATAGCAATTTGAGGATTAAATATCTTGCAATGATTTCCTCACTTACCAAAAAAGTGAGGTATTCTATTTTCTAAGTTGATATCTATAAAAACAATTACATTTCAGGAACTTACCCACCGTGTCTACTGTTGTATTATCTGCGAAACAAAGGGAAATATTGTATTAGACATTCAGTATTTTAGTAACATTCCTCGGCCTAATAAGTAATATATTACACCAATCAATCCGTAGACTTAAAATGGAAGAATGAATAATGATTAAAAGGAGGGGCCTTGAAGACCAATGTTAATGTTGGTGAAAATCTTAATCTTGAACCCCAGTATGACATTGCAGTTTGGGAGGAACTGGTTTGCATCCATTGTGAGTCTGTCATGAAGACTGTTTGTTTGAACCATTTAGATAACAAGCTTTATAGGGAAATGTTCTAAAACCAGCATCGTTTCATGAAACCGTCATACGTAAAAGTTCACCGACATTCTATCGAAACATGTGTTAAATGTAATACACGCATTTCAGTGAGGTCTCGGGGAACTTTTAAAATCACGACTCCTAATTAACATGTAATAAGTGTATCGCTCATTGATTATAATAATAATAATAATAATAATAATAATGGGTTCTTGCAGGCGCGTACGCAGGGGGGGGGGGGTGTTTTGGGGGTTAACCCCCCTCCTTTGGTATTTTTATGTGTGTAAACCCCCGTAAAAAATCCCTAAACCCCCCCCCCCCCAACGGAGCAAAATGTCAAATTTTCAAATTTTGAGACCAAAACAAAAAAAGGTGTCATCTTACACCCCCTAGCTGCATGTCAAGGAATAAATTCCTGCTAGGTACCCATTTACATCACCTGGGTGGAGTGTGGGAAATGTAGAGCAAAGTCATGCCAAAGGACATTAAATGTTTTGTTTCTACAAGCAGAAGTAGTACAAATCAAAACAAAGTAAATACAAGTTACATAATGAAGAAGTTTCGTCGATAATGAAAATGAAATGTATAAAGCTACTGATTAGAGGGATGGGCCGGGGTGCAAGGTGGTGCTTGGTATTTTTTCGATCGTCCTTTTTCCCTTTTCCCTTTCACGTCCTTCTCTTTTCTCAGGGTTTACCTTTGTTCGTTTCGTTAATCAATGGAGTAGGGGGGGGGGGTATCTGTCCCCGCCTTAATTCCCTGTGGCTACGCCAATGAAGCAGTATTTTACCTTGTTCGCATGTAGATATGATGTTAGCTCTGAATCCACGTCGTCCTGAGTAAGGTGCTGAAGTAAACCTGATCCATACTGTAGAGAAATTCATCCTGATCTGAGACGGCACGGTGTACCCAGATAAAGTCCATGTCTATATTATTAGGAACAACATGAAATAACATATCTGTTATACTTTGAAATTATGGTGATTGCAGAATCGTAGTTGAAGTGACCCGGCTTATAGTAAGCAAGGAGATTTTTCGGTTACGGTTAGGCGAATCATTAGACACAGACATCATCACCAGCACTGTTATTCTTCTTATTAACATCATTACCATCATCATAACCATCATTATCATCATCATCATCATCATCATCGTCATCCATCATCAAAATCTGCATTACTGTTATTTGGGTTTACTATCATTTTCGTTGTTATTATAGTAATAATGACTGCTGTGAGAGACATAGTTGTTTTCATACGCTCAAGGGGAGGTTGCATGATCGTGCTATCACCCCGAGGCCCGAGGGGTGACAGCACGATCATGCAACCTCCCCTTGATCTGAGCGTATACAACTATGCCTATATCAATCATGGTAATCAAGTTTATTTACGCTATCGAGACCTCGTCTTAATAGGGTGTCTGGTCGCGCACCACTCAAGTTTGTATGCTAATATCCTTCCCATTGAGATTGCACGCATATACGTAAAATGCAAAAATCGGTCAAAAGTCTTTTGACAAGTGCCCTAGGGCTTTTTTCAAAAGACTATTGACCGGTTTTGGCATTTTAAGGAATGACTAAAATCACGACTCCAATGTCGACCAATCAGATGGCTGGATTGCTAAAGTGAGGTATATAAACATGTATATGGTATTAGCCGACTGTACGGGACATTTTGAATACAATATTTATGATTCTTACCGGATAGTCTGATTTCTTCGTTCCATTTCCGATATACAGATAATCGTATTGAAACGCTGTGACGAAGGACTCGAATACGATGAGAACATCACATGATTCAGGGACCTTCACTCTCCACAATATATCCAGATCAGAATCATATACACCCCGCTGGTTAGTTCCCGATTCGATGATGAACGATTCCCCTTCACCAAGCTTTACTCGACCACCTAGAAACATGTTCAATATAATTATACCAACAATTAATCATGGACAATTATTTTCATGCCGCATGCTAGTTCAGTTTGTATTTTAGTAGGTAACGATTATGATAAGATAGTAATAGGTGTACATGTAGATAAGAACAACCCTAACAACGATAATAATGATCACAATGATGATGATGAAATGAAGTGAAATGAAATTCCTTTTATTCATCCAAATTCACAAAATTTATTTTGGTCACACATTGTAAAAATACGTAATATACAGTGCGTCCCAGAAAAAAAAAGTCATTTGGCGGGCGGTATCTGAATTTTAAAAAGAAAATCACATTTCTAGAAAGTTCAATTTCTGCCTTAACTCCGTTTCGTTGACGATCAGCCATGCACACAGAAGACGAAAGACCTGATGCATGGCTGATCTTCAACTAAACGGAGTTAAGTCTTTTGTCAACTCTGTCTGTTGCTACGGCAGGTAGCCAGTGAAAACGAGCTCGTTTGATCAAATTATTAAACAAACAGAACTTTGTTATTCCTCGCCCATTTTTCCTGATTGAGGTGTCATATGAAAGAGCAGAAATTGGACTTTTCTAGAAATGTGATTTTTTTTTTTTAAATTCAGATAGCGCCCGCCAAATGACTTTTTGGTTTCCTCTCTTCAAATTGCTTTTAATCACTTATGCGTGAGATATTAATCATATGAGTTGCATCAAATGAAAGAGGAAGATCTAAGCTTTTCAGATGTGTGTCATTTGTTAATTATAATTGTTATTAAGTTATAATAAAACATCGATAATTCTCGGTTTCTTTTTCTGGGACGCACTGTATACACGAGAAACTGATTCGTTGTGTTTATCATCACAAATGAACCATCAAAATAATAGTTAGAAAAATAAAAATATTCTTATATTCTTGTATTGCACATTAAAAATGGGTTCCATGACACATGCTCCGCCGACATTTACTCCGCAAAATGCGACAATTGCTCCGCGACAGTTGCTCCGCTGACAGTTGCTCCGCCGACATTTGCTCCGCCGACATTTGCTCCGCCGACAATTGCTCCGCCGACAATTGCTCCGCAAAACGCGACAATATTGCTCCGGTGACATTTGCTCCGCCGAAAATTGCTCCGCCGACATTTGCTCCGCCTGAAGCGACACTTGCTCCGGTGACATTTGCTCCGCCGACAATTGCTCCGCCGACATTTGCTCCGCTAGTGCCCCGTAAAATACAAAGGCTACTTCGACAATAATTGTTGCTCCTCCCCAAAAGTACCCCGCAAAAGACAATGCTCCGCCGACAATTAAATTGCTCTCTGATCCAAAAGTGCAGCCTCGTGGAAGACATGAATGCTCCTCTGGCAATTAGTGCAATAAATGCTCAGCCGTTTTTTGCTATTTCCCATAATGTTTGATTTAAAAAAACATCAAGTTTTAGCTCCTTATGCAAGTTCTCCGGCGAAAGATAATTACTCCGCTCAAAATCTGTTTCATTTATTACTCATTAGCCGATCCAAAGCTCAAGGCTATATATCTCTCTCTCTCTCTCTTGCTCTTCCTTTTCCTTTTTACACCCTTTTCTTGTCTTCATAGCTCTTTTCTTTCCTCTCATGCTATTAGTCTTCTTTCATTTTCATCACTAATCTTCTTTTCTTCCCCTCTCGAGTTCCAATTCTCTCGTAAAATTGTAACGTAATGTAGTACATTCTTGTTTAGAATAGTATTTTCAATAATATCCAGTCCGTTTTCTATAGGTGTCTTTCCTTCAGTGAAGTGTATGTAGCTTTACTATATATATATATATCTATTAGTGTGTAAAACACCCAATCTCATTCGAGTACTTTGTTTTCACTGACTTTAAGGGACTCACGGAACCACCGGAAGAAGAGCTATTGGCTTATCGTGAAGAACTGACATCAAACTGCTACAAAATGATTTGTATAAATGGGAATAAGCAAAAAGGCTGCCATCTAATTTTCCCGTCTGAAAGGGTTCTCTTCTTTACGTATAAGTGCCCTTCAAAGCTTATTTTGATCCCTCCCCTGTTGCTTTCTAGAATTTCCACGATGACCTAATACATTGTATCAGGGGCGTCGCTAGACCTTTTTCAGTGGGGGGGGGGGGGGGGGGGTAGAGGCCAACGATTACCGACAAAATTAAGTGTCTCAATATCTACAAATAACCCTATAAACCCGGGGCCGAAGGCTAAATTGTTTTTACTATGGACTATCTATAGTACTTGCGTATGCGCAAATAATCAATTTCCTCGACGACATAAATATACAAAATTATTTTGTCAACTTAGTCAACATCATAGCTATATATTTTAATGCAGGCGCGGAGCTAGGATCTTATTTTAGGGAGGGGCGGTAGTGAGCAAGCGAAGCGCGCTCGTTAGGGGGTGTCGGTGTTAGGCCTCCCGCGCGAAGCGTGGAAGCTTAGACGTTTCTCTAAATTATTAGGAAAAGAAGACGAATTATTGTACCGTTCACGACTCGTCTAAATGAAGTTTTCCCCTCTCGCGCGGAGCGCGGAAATTTTGGCGTTTCATCAAAATATAGAGAAGGGAAGACGATTCGTCGTATCGTTGTTGACTCTTAATCCTTGTTTGAATTTAGTTTCCCTGAAAATGTTAAATCTCTGATTTCTTTAGCTGATATTATAGGAAAGTGAAACTTCGAGAAAATACAAGTATTGTAGTTGTAGTCACTCTCGAAGTCGTCACAGCGGATACAAAGTCACAGTTCGTAGGGGAAAAAAAATTGTCGGCCGACCGATAATATACATCTCACCGACTTCAAACTTCTGCATTGATATAGTACACAAGGATCGAGCAAAAATACCGACACAGCTGACCCGACACAGCAACATATTTACCCGTGCATGGGTGTCAATCCCGGGGGGGGGGGGGATATCCCCCCAATATTTCAGGTGGGGTGGGGATGGCCTGTGCAATCATCCCCCCCCCCCCAATAATTCACCATAACAAAAATTAAAAATGAGGAGAAAAATTAATGATGAGAGCCAGATGGGAGTAGTTAATGGTTATTACTTGCAAGATGACCATCAATATACACATGTTGCTATCTCATTTTCATAATACATACGTAAATGAGACAACTGTATATGAGACAAGAATATATTTAATTCTCGTTCATACGGCTTCATCAGGAATTGTTGAATTTATTCAATTTATTCAATCAACAGCATCATAGAAATGCAGTGCGCTAAATGCTAAGCCGCAGCGTTAAAAAGCAACGAGCTAAATGTTTAGCGCGAAGCGAAAAAGTGCAAAATAGTAGAGAGTGGGAGAGAGAGAGACAGAGACAGAGAGGATATAGGCGCGTAGACAGGGGGCATTGGGGGCGGTCCCCCCCCCCCCCCAAAAAAAAAAAAAAAAAACGCCGACCAAAAAAGAGAGAAAGAGAGAGAGAGAGAGAAAGAAGAAAAAAAGATTAAGGGTCAAGAACGGTACAACGAATGGTCATCTTTTTCTAATAATGTATTGAAACGTCAAAGCTTCCGCGCTTCGCACAGGAAGGGGGGGGGGAGGGAACTGAATTCAGACAAGGATTGAGAGTCGAGAACGGTACAACGAATCGTCTTCTTTCTCTAATAATTTAATGAAACGTCAAAAGAAACTGAATTTTTGACGAGGATTAAGAGTCGAGAACGGTACAACGAATCGTCTTCTTTCTCTAATAATTTAATGATGCGCGCGCGTTTTCGTTTGTCACGGCCGAACGCAAAATAATTCATCCTGGATTTTTTTTGACACAGTATTCCTCATGTTTTCCCGAACAATGTGATACCATGTTTATCTCTTTATGACCATTAATAAGGAAATGAGCATCCGTTCAAGATAAACGTCCGTGCGCGCGTGCTCATGTAACACATAGCATATATGGGCAACAACATGCCTACACAAAACCCTTATGACTCTTTGGGATGGACGGGAACCCTCAATTTTTTTTTTCATATTCGGATAGAGTATGAGTCGGAGATGTGATTCCATGTCTCATTTGGCCATTAAGTATATCGTGTCATCATCATATTGACTTTGGAACTCAAAATACGAATTTGCATATTATGACGTCAGCATATTTATGGAAAATTGATTGTATCTTTGTAAATATTGATTGATTCTCTTCTTAATGTTGATATATTGTAGTAGAGGCAATTGTCTACAAGTTAACTGCATATTATTTCTCATTTTGATGACATCATCAAAGTGAACATTGCGATTAAAGGTAACTTGACAGATTTTCTTAATTTGCGTGTTAAGCCTGTGGAAGGTGCTAATTTAGTTCAAATCATGGATCTACATGACATTAATCTTTGAGCACTATCTAGCTTATTTGTGCTCTATGTTCTCCCAAATTTTGGTATGTTATAGCTGAGACTATGGGCTATAAAAGTTGTGTCTTTTGTTTTTTGATCAGAGGGTGGGATTATGTCGAAATTTTCAATTGAAAGTTAAATTCGCAAATTTTGTAGAACATTGTAGGAATTATGCATATGTCGCGTTTGTCCTATTTGTGAAATAAAAACGTTAGCAGTTTTCTAGTATTCAAATTAAACAAGGAAACCCCTTTACTTTCTATACTTTACTGTCAGACACTATTGAGTGACTGACCAATTTTTTTTCCTCTGGTAATAAAATACATAATATGAGCTTAAAGGGTACATGAGCATTTGTCCACATCAATAACCCACTTCTTGTAATGGCCCAAAATAATCCGATTGAATCTATGCGCAGCACAATCTAGGTACACATGACGGGTAGAGCATTTCATGGAAGAAGATGAAATTGTGAAAATGCATTCTTCGTTATGTCAATTAGGGTCAAAGGTGTACTGCTTATTGTATGGGGTCAATTGTCATATATCGTCTCAATCTATCTTCCATAGATCCATAATGGTCAATAAACTACACAGTTGAAACTTTTCATATGGATAGACCTTAAAGGTAAAGACCAGTTATGGTCATGCGATTGCATTGTGAAAGAAA